GGCGTCTGGGCGTGTAAAAACTTGTTTAGCAACTGCTCCCTCATTTCCACTGCAAAACCATCTCTGACATTCCCGCTGTGCTGTACTGGCGAGTACAGTATATATTTGCATCCAGTGCCGCTCCCTCTCGGCACACCAAACCCAGCGGCAGGAGCAGGCACGAGCAGCCTTAATTTGCCACCTCCTCCAGACCCAGTGAGCACCATTGAATCCCTGTGCGTTGCCAGACAGAGCAAGCTACGAATGGCGTCGTCGCTCAAGTTCACGGTGCGGAGGCGTCCGGCGGTGCTGGTGGCGCCGGCGTCGCCGACGCCGCGGGAGCTGAAGCGGCTCTCGGACATCGACGACCAGGACGGGCTGCGGTTCCACATCCCCGTCATCCAGTTCTACCACCGGAACGCGCGAATGGGCGGGCGGGACCCCGCGCCGGTGATCCGGGACGCCGTAGCCAGGGCGCTCGTGCACTACTACCCGTTCGCCGGGCGGCTCAGGGAGCTGGAAGGGCGCAAGCTCGCCGTGGAGTGCACGGGCGAGGGCGTGCTGTTCATCGAGGCCGACGCCGACGTCCGGCTCGACCACTTCGGGGACGCGCTGCAGCCGCCGTTCCCGTGCCTCGACGAGCTCATCTTCGACGTCCCCGGCTCGTCCGAGGTCCTCGGCTCGCCGCTCCTCCTCTTCCAGGTACGTACTTGATGCCGACGGCACTCGCTTTCACGTGTGTGCCGCACACGTACACGTGCATACGTGCGTGGTGGGTAAACAAAACTTATGCGTGACGTGCAGGTGACGCGGCTGGCGTGCGGGGGCTTCATCCTGGGGGTGCGGCTGCACCACACGATGGCGGACGCGCAGGGGCTGGTGCAGTTCCTGGGCGCCGTGGCGGAGCTGGCGCGGGGCGCGGCGGCGCCGACGGTCCGGCCGGTGTGGGGCCGCGAGCTGCTGGAGGCGCGCGACCCGCCGCGGCCGGCGTTCGCGCACCGCGAGTACGACGAGGTGCCGGACACCAAGGGCACCCTCATCCCACTGGACGACATGGTGCACCGCTCCTTCTTCTTCGGGCGCCAGGAGGTGGCGGCCATCCGCGCCAACCTCCCGCCGGCGCTCCGCTCGCGCGCCTCCACGTTCGACCTCCTCACGGGGCTCCTGTGGAAGTGCCGCACCACGGCGCTGGCGCCGGACGCCGACGAGGTGATGCGGATGATCTGCATCGTCAACGCCCGCGGCGGCAAGTCCGGGATCGCCATCCCGGAGGGCTACTACGGCAACGCCTTCGCGTTCCCGGTCGCCGTCGCGACGGCCGGGGACCTCGCCGCGAACCCGCTGGGCTACGCCGTGGAGCTGGTGAAGCGCGCCAAGGGCGAGGTGAACGTGGAGTACATGCGGTCGGTGGCCGACCTGATGGTGCTGCGCGGCCGGCCGCACTTCACGGCGGTGCGCGCGTACCTGGCGTCCGACGTGACCAAGGCCGGGTTCGGCGACCTGGACTTCGGCTGGGGCAAGCCGGTGTACGGAGGCCCCGCCAAGGGCGGCGTGGGCGCCATCCCCGGGGTGGCCAGCTTCTATATCCCGTTCAAGAACGCCAAGGGCGAGGACGGCATCGTCGTGCCCATGTGCCTGCCCGGCCCCGCCATGGAGACGTTCGTCAAGGAGATGGGCAAGCTGCTGACCCTGCCCGCAGACGCAGAGCAGCAGCAGGACGCGTTCCCCGTCATCAGGTCCGCGCTCTGAGGTGAGCTGAAAGCTGAGGCAGGCGTGCGCGGCGCCGATCAAACCATCGTTTTCGCTTCGTGCTATAGCATATAGGTAATCGGCGGATCACGAGCTTGCGTGATGCGTAGTGGGGTGAACGAAGTTGATGTGCTACTGTGGGTGGAGTTACGTTGATGTATATGTACTGTACCTATGCTCCCCGGCTGAAATGCGCGCATTTGTGCAGTGCGCTACTGAGGCCGGAAGCAATGCGTTGTTGTGACGTTATATGTAGCTTGTAGATTTGTATACGTAGACGTTATATGTAGCTTGTAGATTTGTATACGTATATTTTGGTACCTTTTCATCCAATAATTCATACACTTCTTCCTTTTTAAATCCAAATCCGTACTTCTTTAAGAAAAACTTAATTCGTACTTCTTTTAGAACAAGTTCTCTGTGCATCCTTATATTTTTACGTCTGTAAGGCAGTAGATAAGTTTAGCTCGGTTTGGTTGATGGTTTTTACGGCTGATAAGCGTCGTTGTGAATTGTACCATGACTGATAAGTTCAAGCGAACAGAGTTCACAGGTTTCTAGCAGCTTGAGAAGCTGCTTTTTATAACAAATGGATTAAAATAGAATAGCTCCCTAGATAGAGCTATTTAAAATCCGCTCCGCTCTCACTGCCCACATGTGTGGCAGCTTGATAGAGCTGAAAATTCAAGATTCCCTCAACTCCCTCTCTCAAATTTACTATAAAATACTATTTTATTAAATATTTTTTTTCGAAACAGCTCCAGCTTTATCCGTGGAACTGCTTGTGTGAAAAAAAAATTGTTCCACTACTACAGGTCCAGCGCTGTATCCTCAGTCCTCACGCTGTTTTTCTTTTTCTTCATGCGGCGATGTGAGCTCACGTCTCTCTCTCTCCTTTTTTTTTTGGAGAGGATACGCTGCTGAGGGCAAAGAGTTGCACAATTTCGTCGCCCGCGTTGCCGTTTTGGTACAAAAATGCAAACACAGGCCTTCTACTGTACAGTCTGTATACGACTGGAACTTATTTGCTGGGCCCAGAAATCATGCGCGGACCCAGGCTTGAGTATCGGGCCGTGGCCCGTGGGTGTATATACGAGATAAAGACCAGAGCAGCCCACAAAACGCCAACTGCCAGGCAGCCCAGGCCAAGGGCAGCCAACGCTGATTCCGCCGTTCCGTCGAGTCGAGATCGGCATCTTCTGCTTTCCGCTTTCAGGATCGAACCGAGGAACCAAAAGCCGGGCAGAGATTCCACAGAAAGGAGCATGGCGCGAGGAAAGCACACCACTAGCACAGATTTGGTCGGTTTCTTGGTCGAATCGTTGCACGAACGGTCCCGGCTAGACGTGCCTCACCAAAAGTGTAGTACGTGGCTGATGACCCCGAACCCCAGGCATTTTTCGGGCAAAGGCCGGAGCCCAGAGCACAGAGGCATCTGGTTCCCGTCAGCTGGTTCTCGGTTGTCTGGTGCACTGCACCGTGCACGAGCGAGTGCACTTCAGCGGTTGCCGCCGGACGGCGGCTCGCACCTTCCCGCCCATCCAGCTCCGATTCTCCGCGGCGCCCATTCGTGGGCGATAGATCTGCTTCGCGATTTGTACTAGGCTACTAGCCGAGCACCGATGCCTAGATGCCACGAACACCGCCTTCCATCCACTGAACAGTACGTAGGTTATACGGACCGCCGAGTTGCACGGACCATGGCGGCGGCGTTAGATAGACCCAGGGATTTATGTGCCTCACAAGTCATCACAAGAGAAAGTGACGGACATTTGAGTCATCATCGTTGACACACAGTGATTAGCTTTGAATCAAGCAAAAGTCAATTCAACCAAGTTGGACGATTGTTTGGTCGTGGGCTCGTGGTCCGTGGCCGAACCATCTTGGTCTTCGCCCCTAAGCAATCAAATTCAGCAAAGCCCATCGGCTCATCGGCTCACTTTGCCACTCTGCCCATGTTGCAATCAAATTCAATCACATCAGCTTAGATAAGACGAACCCGAGGATTTGGCAAAAAAAGAAAACTCATTCGATTTCTCTCAGCAAGCTACGCTCGATCTAACGTCGATTTCAAGATCTTTTAACTTGGTAATCAACAACTCCGGATGTTACTTAGAGCATGTGGTGGATGCATTAGTGTTAATACTAGTTAGCAGCTAAGGGGGTGTTCAAATCAGCCACAACGGCGGCACACAGTGTCTTATGTGTGTGCAGCTTTAGCCACAGATGCAGCAGCAGCCGACTTTTCATCACAAGCAGACACCCCCTAAAATTAGTGGGTGGTAACCAAACATTGCTAACTATTAGCAAGGAGAGGTATTAACAATTAGCTAATTAGTTGGTTAACGGATTCTGATAGTTCATATACATCCCACCAACTATTCAACCAACTATTATCATGTAGATCCAAATAGCTCTAGTACTAATAGTTAGCAGCTTTTTAAGGTCTGTTTGGATCACCGAATGAAACTTGTGAAGGTAAGTTTTAGACCATCCAAACATGTGGACTAACTTTTAATATGATTCAACTAGCTGTTAGTTTCTCTATGTATCAAACAATATAGGACCAAATTTTAGTCACCCAAACTTTTCCATAAGCTTTACCTGGATAAACAATTCGTCCAGGTGATTTATTAGCTAATAATGCAAACGAAACGATTTGGCAATATTAACGCAATCCGAAGCTAGGCAAAGACTCCTGTAGTTGAAATAGTCTCGTATGGACGGACGGTACGTACGCTGGGTGCGCCAAGCAAATCCTCCTTTATTGTTTCGAAATCTCCCAATTCCCAGACAGGCTCGCGCTGCGGAACTCGTCGCCGACAACGCCTTCACTAGTAGAGCCGCGTCCCGGCCCGCGTCCACTCCTCCGCCGCCACATCTCACCTCCCTTCTGACCCCGGCGACCCGGCCCCCCCTCCCCCGCGCGTTCCACGACCACGAGCCACGAGCCACGAGCCACGAGCTCACGACCTGCCGCGGTTGTGCGCTCGCGTACGCGCCGCATCGCATCACGATTCAGCCATCAGCGCATCACCGGTCCACCCTCCAGGTCTCCACCACCCACCCCACCCATACCCCGCCCCGACCGGGGCCTCCTCTCCTCCTGCTCTCACCGCGGGTGCCCGCACCGCGCGGCGACGCCTCCCCTTCAAATCTCCCAGGAGCTAGGGGCCTCAGCTACCACCACCGCACCGCACCGTGTCGGACGCGGCTGCAGACCTGCAGCGCCGAGCATTTGATTTGGACCAACTGACCGAGCGTCGTGTCAGATGATCTCGCCCGCGATGTGGCGTTCGGCGGCGCGGCGGTCGGCGCAGGTCCGGCGCCTCCTGTCGTCGTCCGCGCCCCCGGCGCCCGCCGGCGCCGCCGTGCCTGGGCCCTGCATCGTGCACAAGCGCGGCAACGACATCCTCCACGACCCATGGTACAACAAGGTAGGTAGCCAGCCACACGCGGAGTCCCCCCAACCCCCGATCTCGCGGTTGCGCGCGGTCTCGATGCGGTTTCAGCTTACCGGGGCTTCCATTCCGTTTGGGCGCAGGACACGGCGTTCCCCATGACGGAGCGCGACCGCCTCGGCCTCCGCGGCCTGCTCCCGCCGCGGGTCATGTCCTTCGAGCAGCAGTACGAGCGATTTAGTGAGTCGCCCTCCCCGTTTGCGTCTGTGTTTCCTTATTCGTCGTGTTTGCGGCGCGCCGAATGGGTTGCGGGATCACGGAATCTGTCGTTGCTCACGCGACGCGTTATGGCTTATATGCGTGTGCTTGCTTCGTTGCAGTAAACTCGTTCCGGTCGTTGGAGCACAACACGCGCGGCGAACCAGACTCCATCGTCGCGCTCGCCAAATGGAGGATCCTCAACAGGCTGCACGACCGGAACGAGACGTTGTACTACAGGGTGACCCCTAGTGTTGTAGCATCGTGTTTGGAAAAAAAATGATACAATGACCTGAATTTTGAGTCCTTATATGGTAATATGTGCTCTTTTTACCAGGTGCTAATTGACAATATCAAGGATTTTGCACCGATAATATACACTCCCACTGTCGGCTTGGTCTGTGAAAATTACAGTGGTCTGTTCAGACGACCCCGTGGGATGTATTTCAGTGCAAAGGATAAGGGGGAGATGATGTCGATGATTTACAACTGGCCAGCAGAGAAGGTATATCTGAAATTGCTGCCTTAATGCACCTCATAAAGTAGTGCCTCTAGTAAAGCGATTAAGGTTGAGATTATTTGAGTATCGATTCAACTAATAAGATCTGAAACCGAATCATAACATTTGATTGATGCTAGTGGTTTCCTAGAGCTGTACCGCATGCTAGTATATTTCAGTATGTCATCAGCGAATGCATAATGGTAATCACACAGTAATTTGCATTTAAACGTATTTTTAATTTTCGTGTTAAACTCTGTTATGCTTAATGTGTTTATGTTTAGAGACCATGGAAATGATATGTCAATATGCAGCATGAGTTCTTTCAATTCTGGCTGTATGGCATGCCTTCATGTAAGTGGTTGAACACTTTTTTCAGGTTGACATGATAGTTGTGACTGATGGGAGTCGCATTCTAGGCTTAGGTGACCTTGGTGTTCAGGGCATAGGTATACCTATTGGTAAACTGGATGTTTATGTTGCAGCTGCTGGTATTAACCCACAAAAGGTATGGAACATCCTGATACCTGTCTGGAATGACATCAGTTACATATTAATTACTTATATGTTTACTTTATATAACATGGTGAACTAGGCACCAGTTATTATATTCAGTAGCCTGCCCTTTATGGCATACCTTTTTAATATTTTCCTGCTCTCTGAGAATACGTTTATACTTGCAGGTTCTTCCAATAATGCTTGACGTGGGCACAAATAATCAAAAGCTTTTGGAGGACAAGCTATGTGCGTGAGATACATTAAACTTAATTCCTGATGTTTTTTTGTGACATTATTTTATAACGTTTTTATAACCATTTCTTCGATTAAATGAAATTCTGAATGCTGTTTGTTTAGAAAAAAAAAGATGTATTTGCTTGTAAATAAATCCATGGCCGCATACCTTATTCAGTTAAGTTTACTTAGATTTAGGACTGAGGCAACCTCGGCTGGAAGGAGAAGAATACTTGGCTGTTGTAGATGAATTCATGGAGGCTGTCCATGCACGTTGGCCTAAAGCAGTTGTTCAGGTATGTGTGCTTTATGGCCATACTCTACGTGCTTGTTCAAGATTGCTCCTTTCACTGAGTTAGTGCTGTTCTTTTCTTCTTGGCTCCGATCACTTGTTAGTTGTTCTTGCTTTCTGCTTTTTTCCGCTTTCCTCTCTCCTGGAGAGAACTGGGTCTTGTTGGCCTTCCTTTTAGCTCTTCTTTTATTATCTCAAGAGAGACCTGTTTGCTTCTTTGCTTTTCTTGTATAAATAAATATTTACCACACTAGGGGCTTCCCCTACTATTTTTGCTCAAAATACTGCTCCCTTTCTGAAGTGATAAAATCACAGTTCGAAGACTTCCAAATGAAATGGGCCTTTGAGACTCTTCAGAGGTATCGGAACCGATTTTGCATGTTCAATGATGATGTACAGGTATTTTGATTCTCAAACTATTATTATGTAATTTATTCTGCAAAGTTCTTTTCATCCAGTCTTATATATTATTGTTTGTTGGGCTTATATCCTATTTAAAATAGGGGACAGCTGGAGTTGCTCTAGCTGGCCTACTTGGTGCTGTTAGAGCACAGGGCCGTACTCTCCAGGATTTTACGAATCAAAAGATCGTCGTTGTGGGAGCTGGAAGGTATCTGATATGTTTGACATTTTTGTAGAATTTCCTCAGTCCATTTTATATGGCATGTTCATTGTCAAAAATGTGGTTCGTACATTCTAATTCCTCTTTAGAATCCAGTGCTGGGATAGGTGTGCTTAGCATGGCTAAACAGGCAATGTTAAGGATGCCTGGAATCCACAGAACTGGGGAAGGGCATAATCAATTCTGGGTTCTGGACAAAGATGTAAGTCAACTTTAGATAAACAAATATTTTTTTCTGCTTTTTACACTAAGCAAATGTCCTTTATACGTGTTCAAACTAAATGGAAAAGGCTGATAAATTATGCACTCTTGTTGTGGCGTACTTGTAGGGCCTTATTACGAAAGCTAGGAAGGATTTGGATTCTTCAGTGGCACGTTTTGCCAGAGGTTTTGGTCCTGATGAGGTCCCTGATCTCCATGAGGGGGCTAGTCTTGTTGAAGTGGTATGATAATATGATTTCTACAATCAAATTTTCAGCTGTTGCAGCTTAGACAGTACTGTTATATAAATGCTTCTGTGCTTGGGCTAATTCAGTTTGATACTAATCGTCAGGTCAAGAAAGTTAAGCCTCATGTGCTTTTAGGACTATCTGGAGTTGGGGGCATATTTAACGAGGAGGTAAGCATAAGAATCCAACTTATTTCAGGATTTGTAATGAGTTGAGGAATGCTTTTTCTCCTATCTTACCAGTCCTGATTTAGCAGTCCTCAGTCGGTGCTCATATTTAGCACTAATTTATCCATTTAAGTTTCATCGAGGACTGGGATCATAGTTTCTTTTTTTTTTCCTGAATTTCGAAAATATTCCCACCACAAATAACTTTGGCACATACAAATGCATTCTTATAATGCCAGTGGATGACTGCATCAAGTACTGCCGTATGGGTGAACATATGATCCAAAAAATGATCTGGTTAGTCTTATAGATAAGAATGATTGAACATGTACATGATTCACGAATGATCTCATGGACGACGACAGTCTCATGTATTACCTTTCTCATATAGACAGATTTCCCAGGCCTGACTAGTGAGAACACTATCAATCATTGTGGCCATATATCAAGGACTTTGGTTGACAGTCCAGAGCTGCAGAACAGAAATAGTGGGTTGGCTGTTGCTAATTGTGTACTTGCCTAATCTAGTCTAGCCTTGTTTAGTAATGTTGCTTGTTGGGCACCATCACCACTTAAGAGAAGTACTTGATTTTTTTCCTTATGAAATTTCATCATGCAGCAGAGTCCTAATTAAATTGCTTAATTGTACATACTGATGAATGTTGAGCATCAAAGCTGCATTCCTTGTCTTTGTAAATAAGACCATATTGGAAATATCAAATCAAATTCCAAGTGGTCATGCTTTTACAATTGAGTGGTAATCCATACATCTCCAGGTTCTCAAAGCTATGAAAGAATCCGATTCCCCTCGCCCTGCAGTTTTTGCAATGTCCAACCCTACTACTAAAGGTTTGTACGCAGACACCTACAGATTGTTTGAGGACACCCTATGGTGAAATGCTAGCTTCTTTTTCTTTTTCTTTTTTTTTGGAGAGAGAGGGGAACCAAAGATACAACAACAACAACAACAACAACAACAACAACAACAACATAGCCTTTAAGTCCCAAACAAGTTGAGAGGGGAACCAAAGATGAAACACTAATTTGATCTTCTCTTTTTATTACATTACAGCTGAATGCACTCCTGATGATGTATTCAAGCATGTTGGTGAGAATGCGATATTTGCTAGTGGAAGCCCTTTTAGTAATGTTTCTTTAGGTAATTCCTTCCTTGGTATCTTTTACATTGTTTGCTAGCAATACTTTTTAGTAGATGATTGCTAATGCTGGGGTCTTGATTTCTTAGGAAATGGTAAAACCGGTTATGCTAATCAAGCAAACAACATGTATCTATTTCCTGGGTATGACAACCTTTCACCTTTCCTAGTATTTGGCTTTTGTGTTTTACTGATAGAAGTTTTTTCAAAAAATCAGGATTGGTTTAGGTGCCCTTCTCTCAGGTGCCCGGCATATTTCAGACGGCATGCTTCAAGCAGCAGCTGAGTGGTAAGCCTTGCTTGATAAAATTATATGGTTGGCCCACCTGATTAGATGCCCCTGTATCTTGCTTTGCTGAACTTCCATTGGCATAAGATATCAACTACACTAAAATTGTTTCCACTTGAGTCATTGTTTGCTGTTCTTGCGGAGAGGATCACAAAAATTAGATAAGCATCTATTTATTTTTGCAATGCAGCCTGGCATCATACATCACAGATGATGAAATTCGGAAAGGAATCCTCTTTCCTTCAGTCTCCAGGTGAGCTCTGCTCTGCGCTGGATTCAACATCCACCGAGTGCTGTTGTTACCACTTACCACACCACATTGATGCAAGCGCTATCTTCCATATTCATTTCAACTGATGGTCCAATAACACCCGCCAAACCCTGCAGTATTAGGCACATCACCGCACGTGTCGGCGCTGCAGTCGTCCGTGCTGCTGTTGCTGAAGACCTGGCTGAGGGGTGCTGCGATGTGGGTCCTAGGGAGCTTGGGAGCATGTCAGAGGTACCACGCTACACATTGGAGAAAAAAAAACGTCACATTCCTATTGTTAAAACTTAAAACCTACTGTAGTGTCTCAAATATGTTCCTCGTGTGTTGCAGTCGGAAGCAGTGGACTACGTCGCTCGGAAGATGTGGTACCCTATTTACAGCCCCCTTGTGAGCGACAAATAAACCCGATAATCTCACGACCTGCATAGAGGCAGATGTTCCTGATGTTTCCATTGAAGGAATATAGCCGACTTAAGACAAATGTTTTGACTATTTTTTGTTAACCATTTCTAAATTAGCTGCTCATCTAGAAAGCATTTCGGCGGAGATTGATGCCCAGGCATATGGCTATTGTATGGCCACATTCATTTGCTTAGACATGATTTCGTCATCATGAACGCTCGGCTTCATACTGCCACAGGAACCGTGCGTTTCATGATTATTGTAATAAGACACCGGAGTTTCATTCTGTCCTAACAATAGACATGAGATCAGAAGCGAAATGATTTTCTTTTTTACCACCATGAAACATGTTCACAGCCCATTTGCAACAGAGAATATTACTAGACAGCGATAGGTCAAGGTACTTCATCAAAGGAATTTGGTGGAACAATTTTACAGGGGATACTAAGCTAACTCCACATCGGATGGCCAAGCGCTTCACCTCTAAATGTTTCTGTCACCTGCCACGACCTTTCGTATCACTTCCTCCAGTGTTTCGCCGCGCACAGCAGCCAACGAAGTACACGAACGACTAGCCACAATATAATGCACATATAGAGAGAAAAACAGTGAGCAGATCAGTACGACGACGGAGAAAAAAAATGTAGCAGATAAGTGTGTGTCTAGTTCGACGCCCGGGCTTACCAGGATGACGAACAATATCACGTTGAAGATAGCCACCACTCGCCACTCTGTCTTCATGTACTGCGCGACCCCAGCTCTAGAAGACAGTATCGCCGCATTAGCATCCCGAAACCGTTTTGATGCTTCGGAGCTTAGGGAGTGAGATCTGAGTGGCTTACTTGCAAGAATTGCAGTCGTAGCACCTGACAGATCGGGCGTTCTTGTACAGTTTGCAGTCGACGTTGGTGCTCACCGGATGATAGCTCAGATCGAAATAGGATGCATTCAGAGCTGGGTACCCGCACCTGAAAATCAGAGCAATGTGATGAACTGATGATGACAATGTCTGAGATTACGGTGACCACAGTGAATGGTTGAGGTGGACATTCAGGCGCGTACTCTGCTGGTGGGCAGCAGCAACCCGACTCCATGGGAGTAAGGTCTGCAAGCTTGTACTCTCTTGCAGTCTGCATAAAGTTGGGGACTAGAAATAAGATCTCAATGAAAGGAACGCCTAAGATCTCAATGAAAGGAACGGCTGCAAGGGGAGCAACTCCAACAGAGTAAATCAAGTGAAAGATGTGAAGAACAGGTAGTCACCTTGTATCTTTTTGACAAGTTATTGCAGTCATCTGTCTTCACTAGGCAGCTCTTCAGGCGAGCCCATTTCTCCGTGTCATCTAGCTGTAGTTGAACAAAAATAAATGAAGAGAGTAGTGGTAGTGCAGTAGAATATTCAAATCTATTGTATTGTATGGCAGAAAACATAAGTTTTCCAACAAAGAAACGTGACATGCCTGTTTGACAAACCAGGAGCTGTAATCCTGAAGACGATACTCTTTATACCTACATAGAACATAAGAAATGCTTCAGCGAGCTTAAATGAAATTAGCACATTAGCTTAACGATTAAGGTCTAAAGCTGCCGACACCTTTAGACAAGAATCCAGAGGAAAACTCTCTCCTGCCATACTGTCCTAACCATGGGCTACTCCAGTAGTGTTTCGATGGCAATATGGCATTTTAAAACTTTGAAGTCATGGGAAAGGTTCAAAATTATCTTTTTTTTCCTTCTATGATTGTAGCAGCGGATAGATCGGTTTGGGTTAGTATCTGTAAGTTTCCATACTCTAAAAGCTAGAACTCGCTGGGGCATGATCCTTTCATGATACTAATAGCCACATACCTAGCCCCAGGAACAGTATGACCACTTCCAGAGTTTGTTATGATAAACCTGCAGCAGTACAAACCAAGAATGAGTCCTCAAAGCTACAAACTGCTGAAAAAGGTTATTAAATCAAACAGTGAATTTAGAATTAGAACGTCGGTTTGGAGTAACTCCAAATTGTGGAGTACAACATAATACCATCACATAATGAATGCGCCCAACAACAAATTTTCAAACAAAAAGTAGACCATCATTGCCACCAAGTCATCAGCTATAAAATTAAAGGCCGTTTCAATGCCATCACAACACAAATTAAGCAGACTTACGCAAGCACCGTGAACACCATGATTGCCACCAAGACCACGAACAGCATGATTAGGTACTAGGCACCCACATGTCAAGGTAACAGATAGGTCCAAAAGTACCCCGAACATAAGGAACCAAAACTATTAAGTTGCACTCATGTGACTGTGACTTTACTAATCCGATTCACGGGGAAGGAAGGATACAGTCCACAGCAAGCAGGAAACGTTCTTCCAAGCACCATGGAATCCGACAAGCGATCTGCAGCGCAAATTGTCAGTGAGCCTGGTTAAATGGGGTGAGCATGATAATTCACCACGGCATGGTGACGCGGATGTGATTAGATACGCACATGAGAAAGATCACTCCACCGAGAGCAATGACAGGGACGGTCAAGGACCGCCTGCACTCGTCGTTGTGGGTGCTCATCCAGAACCCGAAACCCACCACCAGTAGTGCCAGTATCTGTCCGAGGAACAGCAGCATAAGAACACCGTTGAGTCATTTGCTAGGAAACTAACAAGCAATCTCTCTTTGCCTATGCTCATATGCTAATACTATGAACTAGTAGCTACGAAATTAAACAATTGCCAAGAGCCCAAGACCAATACCACATCAATGCGCGAGGAATTGGGAAGCGATGCAATATATAACGTAGTAACTGCGCGGGGTGGAAGCAACAGATAGAGAACGACGAAATGAACAACCCCAAAAATTCAGACAAAGTGCAAGTTCCCGAAAAAACCCAGAGAAGGGGGTAAAGTAAAATGGTGGGGAAAGTGTACTTCAGCAATCAGGCGCCGAGCCGGGGTAATGAAGCTAAAACCCCAATTCGCAATTGAGATAATGAAACATAAAACTGCTGGTGAACAAGGAACGAATTCTGAACCCTTGCCAGTTCACTCCGAGCATGAAGAAGTAACCAGGCAGCTTTTTTTTTCTATGAAAAAATGGCGAGCAAATGCGGGACACCAGGAATCGATAATTAGCCTCAAGCAAGGCCGAGCGGAAGGAAAACGCCTCCTCCGATTGGAGAAGGGAGAAGGAGAGCAAGGAAGGATGGAGGTGGGCCGAGGCGACTGACTGACCATGGTGAAGAAGTTGATCCACCTGATGACGAACGCGCTGGCGCTGCCCATCCTCCCTCCGTCCCCGAGCAACCGGATTGCAACGGGGTGCTGCGCCGGGTCACGGGACGGGATCTGGCGAGGCAGCGGCTGGGGACGAAGCTGAAGGCGGCGGCGGTGGCAGTGGCTTGCGCAGAGTGTGGGACTGTGGGTCGGTTCGCGTGCGAGCTTAAGGCAACGGTCGCAGATCAGCAGAGGGTTGGGCACCTGCTGGCGCCGTCGCGGTGGATACCGAGTGAAGACGGTGATATGCGGGGCCTCTGCTCGCCGGCCCAAGGTGTCGGTGGGGACACGGGAGCGGTGCCGGTGCGAGCTGCAGAAGCTGGCAGCGGTGAGCGCGTGGTGGTGGATGGTCCGGCCGGCGGGCCGGGTGGGGACTGAGAGAAAAGGGGCAAAAAGGCGTCCGTTTGGGTCGGTTTGAACGTGGTAGGCGCGGTCGCGTCGTGCCTTTCTCCGTGCGCTGCGCCCGGCCCGCGTGCCTGAACCACCAACGGTTTCGTTTGTTGCCGTTTGGCAGACGGGCGCTGCGAGAGGCACACCACCCAGTGGAGTGGGGGTTTAAAACCGTTCCCGGCAGTAGAGTTCTCGGGATCAGGACCGCTGGTTCGTGGATAAAATGCTCCTTCCATCGGCTGCCCCAGCAGTAGCAGCAGCTCCGGAACGCTCGCATGGTCCGCGTGGTGCTTGTGTAGTTGCGTACCGGGCCGTGCGGTACCGGGGTCCGGGGTACCGAACATCTTCCATCTGTCGCCAGCACAGCTGCGTCCTACGTGGCTCCACCAAGGGAGCACGGGCATGCCACAACACCGAGCTACTCCTACGTATGGTCCCCTCCATGGGAGCAACAACTCTAACCAACTCTATTTGAGCCCTCATCTCATTTTGAGGATTCAAACATATATGAAATGAAAAAGCTCTAGATTCCCGATGGCTGGAGGGCTCATCCTCCAGCCTACAGCTGAGCTAAATCCCTGATATGGCTCATGCTCCAGCCTACTCCTGAGCTGAAACATGGATAAAGAGCTCTCATTCGAGAGAACAGGGAAGCATCGTTCGAGGGGATAGGGAAGCAAACATTGAGGGCTTGATTAGAGTTGCTCTAACACCCCAACGTCGGACGACTCAACAGTTCTAGCATACATGCGCCAATGGGTATGGATTCTACAACTACAAGATGGGTATTCTCGCAAAGAAGTTGATACAGAAATAATTTCAAGTTATACTGTATACATACACCATGAAAAATCAAAATCAACAAAGAATACGGCTACAGAAAAACATCCCTATGCTTCATAACATTAGGAAAGAAGACGAAAAATGGAAGATGAATCAAATGATAACAAGCAACTCAAGTCGAACTGAGACTGGCAAAAGGTAGAATGAAAATGTCAAGCGAGGTAAGATAACGTCTCGCCTCATCATAGTTCTGGGCCTCCAAGCAGCCCAGTGTGCATGTCCTCAGCTAAAGGGGTTAGTATCACTGCCTTCAGGAAACACTTCCTCTACTAATCCAAGTAAGCTTACAAACGTCATCAAGGCGCCAAAACAAAACCCTACAAGAATAATTTGATATCTGTGGCGTTATGGGAATGTAGCCATTTAGTCTGCTTCAGAAATAGCGGCGCCTTGGTTGGAGAACTCACTTGATGGGTTGCTATGTACAGATGTATTTGCCTGATAAGTTTCTCAAAAAAAAAAAGTTTGATGCTCCTGAAACTGTCACATTCATCATTGGCAGTATACGGCCAGGTCAATCTGTGGGGGTATTGTCTTAATTTCTGTTCCAAGTTCTTGCTCAATCCTATACCTGCAAAACAAAGGGGGGGAAAAAGGATCAGGAATCTTGATGCAAGACTAGAGAAACAGACCACTTTATTAATGCAGGCTTACAAGTTGAAACGGTCCTCATAAGTAATCAAGTTCACTGCCAAACCAAGGTGTCCATATCTCCCAGAACGGCCAACCTAGGAACATGACAACACACATAAATTTTAAATTCTGAAGGTTATAAAACAAACAGCTTCTACAGAATAAAAGATAAAAAAAAAAGTACCCTGTGTAAATATGTCTCAGATGTCTTAGGGAAGTCAAAATTAATGACCACATTAACAGCCTGGATATCAATTCCTCTGGTAAACAGATCTGCAAACAAAGAGAGCCATGACACTCTTATAAGGAAACCTTCATAAATGACAATTGAAACTATGCTGAAAAGTAATTACTAAATTCGAGAAAGACTAATAAGATAGGAAAATGTACAGACCTGTGCACACAAGGTTTCTGCAAGCACCATTACGAAAATCATGAAACACTCGGTTCCTGTGGTCTTGCAACATCTTAGCATGGATATAGAAGCATGAATAACCGAGTTCAGTTATTTTCTTAGCCAGTAGCTCAACTCTATTAACAGAGTTGCAGAATATAATGGATTGATTAATTTGAAGCTAGCAAAAACACAAAAAAGGGAAATGTGTCAGTTTATACTTAACTGTGGATGAAACAGAAAATATAGAGTTAATGTTTGTACCTTTGAGAAAAGTGTATTCAGGCAATGAACTTTCTGCCTTTCTTCAACAAAAGCATAATATTGTGTTATTCCTTTCAGGGTCAGTTCATCCATTAGATTAATCACATAAGGTCTAGGCAGATATTTCTCTTTGAATTCCTTGATAGTTACAGGAAAGGTTGCTGAAAACATCAACAGTTGCCGACTAGGTGGAAGGAAATGAATAAGTGCCTCCACAGAAGGCTGAAACTCTGGAGCTAATAGCTTGTCTGCCTGCATGATATCCCAAATAATGTGTTTGTTCAACTTGTAACTTTCGACAGATAATAAACATATTAACATATGAAATGGATGCTATATTTGCATCAGATCGTTGCAGAAGCAACAATAATAGACCTCGAAAAGTTACTAACACTATCAACAACAAAGCCTTTTAGTCCCAATCAAATTGTAACAAACCCCACATGAGCTTGTAACAATATGGATTATCAAAAACAAACCATGAACACACTTTAAAGGGACAAATGCACCCACAAAACCGCAAATCATCGAATTGTAGAATTAAGACATATAAGTACTCCAAGAACAACATGGTTCTGGAATGTTATTTGAGCAGTGTATCAACAAGTGTTCGTTATCAAGAGCAATGTTAGCATCAGGAGCATAATCGGAAGGGCGCTGTCAACATCACAGTAAAATTGATGAAAAGAGATACAAAAGCAATTTCAGATTCTTTTCTTTCAGTGAGGGAACACAACATCATATAGCAAAGTGACATGATTTAGCGTAAATCAAATGGGGGTGAGAAACTTTGTGAAAAGAACACCAGTGTAGCTATGATAAAATATATACAGCACAAGAAAAAAAGTGTAATTATTTCTAATTATACCTCATCCATGACAAGCATTGAACAATCTTTCAGCACGCAAATGCCCTTCCTGGTAAGATCAAGTATTCGGCCAGGAGTACCAACGAGTAAATGAACAGGTTGGTATAAACGCATGATGTCATCCTTCAAGCTGGTTCCTCCAAAGCTAACCATAACTTGAATGTTCAGGTATTTCCCGAGCTCTTTACAGACTTGTGAAGTTTGCAGAGCCAGTTCCCTTGTTGGTACTAGTATAACAACTGAAGAAAAGACCAACAGAACCAGAAAATAAAAATAATAAAAATAAGAGACTATATGAAACCAAACTATGAACTAATTCACTAGTGGAAGTAAAACTGGCACTACATAAACATCATCCATAACACATTTTTGAAAAGGCGCCAGTGATCAACAAAGTATAATGTTGTTGCACTATTAGTCTATTACAGATTCAGTCTGTCAAACAGCCATAGAATGCTAAAAGTGCAAATGGTCTGCTTTTCCACACACAAAAAATAAACTACATTTCATACCTAGTATCAGTACCAAATTTTTTTTTGTGATTATTTCTCACGCCAATAAAAACAACACACCAAAATTTCAAGAATGTGGATTTGCCTAATACTCCCTCCGTCCCACAAAGAGTGCCATTCTCACTTCCCGAGAAGTCAAACATTTTTAACTATGACCCAATACATATAAGGAATTTTTAATATTTATAGTACATAATAAATGTCATTAGATTAATTGCTGAATATATTTTCACAATAAACTTATTTGGAGATATAAATGTTGCTAATATTATCTATAAATCCAGTCAAACTAAAGAATGTTTGACCTGCACGGAACCCATAGCTACACTTTTTTTTGGGACGGAGGGAGTACATACGGAAGACAGATTAAAGGACTGGTTCATTCACCGTATCAAAATCATCAACGTGACCAACAGTAATAAGTAATAACAATAATTCAGTGGGCTTGTAACATTAATAGAGAACAAATGGATACATAGAGGAATTGGTGAAACAGTAACTTGTATTTTGTGGCCAGTTAAGTTGTTCATGTTATGGTAGCAAGCTAGCAGCAATTAAAAAAATGACTCCATGTGCTAAATTCCAATTTGAACGTATGAAAGAATAATTCACCTTGAATAGCATTTTTTTCAGGATCAATTTTTTCAAGTGCCGGAATGCAAAATGCAGCAGTCTTCCCAGTGCCATTTTTTGCCCTCGCAAGAATATCACTTCCAGTCAGCGCAATAGGAATGCTTTCTTCTTGAATAGGAGATGGCCTTTCAAATCCCTTTTCATAGATTCCCATAAGCAGTTCACGTTTCAAGAAATAATCTTCAAACTCATTGCCTTTTGTTGCAGTGACATCCTGTGTACGACGTGTCGACGACACAAATATCAGAGGCAAGATATCAATAGCTTGTAGATGTAAGCAAATGGGAGCCATTCAAAAACTACTCTGAAACCATTCAAAGGAACCAGGATGCATTATGCATATATACTTGAACACAGAAAGATAATAAGTATTAGAAAGAGAATTCACCTCTGTCCTGTAGCGTGTATCTGGAGCTGGTATATTTAGTTGAGCCTTCCAATCTTGAGAACTGAAACAAACAAATGAAGGGCTCATTAATGATGCTAGTAATAGATAAAGTTTAATTAGCATCATGACATGCCAGTGCTGAATCCAATACAGTGCCAAGTGAATCATTTATAAAACGGGTAAGCAGAGAATAGCAGCAACGGATAAACAAAAATGTCAAAATCACACACTTTATACATAGAAAACACGAGATGAAGGGCAACAAATACAAATGCAGATTTAAGTTCACAACAGCGTTAGTCATTTTTACAGCAATGGTTGTATTTGTTTTTTTCCCCAGAAACATGAGATAATCAAAGGATAGTCAGCAACAGCAAGCTCATTAACTCATGTCAGCATGATATAACGGTAGAACTAATGTAACCAATGAAGCAACCAAAATCACTCCAACAACCAGCATGTTGTCGCCTCTAAATCTAAATTCAAAGCACAAACCCTAGAGATCGCCAGAGCGCCAAGCAGAGTCGACAAATATGGTTCAACCAGAGGAGACGTGCAGATAAGCAAAAGCAGTACCTCGAGTCTACGGCGTCAAGCTGAGGCGCCGTCTTAGCCGCAGCGTTTTCGGACGCTGCCCCCGCAACGGCGGGGGCCTGGTCTCGCCGCAGCCACTGCTGCTGGTGCGAGGAGTTCCTATGCGCGTGCTGCTGCTGCGGCTGCTGGTAGTGGTGTTGCTGCTGTGGCTGCGGGTTCCGGCCGTAGTAGTTGTGGTTTCCGCCACCGCCGCCGCCGCCTCCTCCATTGCCGCCTCCACCGCCACGTCCGGCTCCGCCTCCCCCGCCGGAGCCATAGCCGGGTGGGTAGCGGGCTCTGGGCTGGTGCATGGTGGATCTAGGGTTTTGGAGCACGGGCGAGAGAGATCTAGGGTTCCGACGGTTTCGCCGTTGCGGCGGGCGTGGGTTTCGCTTTTGGACTTTGGAGGTGGAGGTGGAGGTGGATGGATCCGTGAGCGATCGCTTTCGAATGGGTAAGATTGCCACCTGCCAGGTAGGCTCGTGGAGAAATCGTCAAGCGGGGTATGTTTTGAAGCTTTTCCGCACAAACTTCGGAGTCGCACTAGTTTTGCAAATTTAGGCTTTTCAATTTCCATATAAACGGTTTCAGCCCACGCTTTTCTGCCTCAGGAAAAAAGGGTGGAGAGTTGTGAGAGAAAAAAATACTCCATTAATTAATTGCTTACCTGATGGAGTTTGTGTTTCGAATTAAAACACCCCTTAACCTATAGTTTGCTGTTTCAGAAAAATATCGTTGTTGGCTCATAAATTCTGACTAAAATCAACAAACGAACAATCTGGTTGTATAACAAAGAGAGTTGCTAAACTGTTTAGCTGCCGATGGGTGTACTCTAGATCAAGGCTCATGTATAGTTTCTCCGTCTCTTTGTGTCAAAGGACTAAATTTTAACCTCTAAGCTTTAGTTTTGTTGGGCTGTTTAGTTTTGTTGGGCTGTTTGATCTTTGGTTAAACTTTAGTCCTCTGATTACAATAACTGATTTACTCTTATTTAATTATCCATACACAACCATGCATGCTAACGACAAAGGGTATGTAACGTCTAGCATCCGTCACGATGGAGTTTAGCTCAGTTTATAGCCTCTTTAAATCAAAAGATTTTAGAACAATTTTTAGCCATTTGCTCACTTTTAGCCCCCCTATTTGAATCTCCATGGCAAACAAAGCTAAAAGTGCAGGGCTAAAGTTTTGCCGTGGAATCAAACATGGCCTTTATATTCGTCATTCTAGCTTTAAAACTTTATCTCTAGTTAGGGGGTGTTTAAATCAAAGGACTAAAATTTATGGATGTCACATCGAGTGTTTAAATAGTAATAATAAAACAAATTACATAAGTCCTCAGCAATCCACGAGACCAATTTATTAAGTCTAATTAATCCGTCATTAGCACATATTTACTGTAGCACCACATTGTCAAAATCAGGGACTAATTAAGATTAAAAAATTTGTCTTACAAATTAGTCTCAATCTATGTATTTAGTTTCATAATTAGTCTACATTTAATACTCCATACATGTATCAAATATCCAATGTGACAGAAGCTAAAATTTAGAAAAGGAAAATAAACAAAGCCTAATTGTAGTTAGCCTAGTAATATGGGTCCCACGTATAAGTGTAGTACACTCCACCACACCACACCTGCCCATCACCAGTGCAGCAGGCTACAACTATACCTTACCAAAATGAGCCCGGCCCGACCTGCCCTCCCTGAGCCCGATGGGTTTTAACCCGTCCACGAACCTAACTGGATAGGGCCTGATAGAGATCCCGCTGCACAGAACAACTTTGTGGGTCCGAACTGGGCCCGAAATACTGTTTTCGCTATTTTACACTATAAAATGCGTAGGCGGCCCGCCCAGGCCCGGACCAGGCCCGAAAAATTAGGCCCAACCTGCCCAGTGGGACGGTCATGGGTGGGACTTTTTCGGCCCGTGAAAGGTTCTAATGGCTAGAAGGGATGAATAGCCTATTAAAAATTTCTACAACAACACTTAACAAACCGGTTAGATAAATATGAGGCGAAGCGAGTGTTACGCTAGCCTACTAAAAATGCAAGCCACCTACCATAATTCTAGTTTATATAGTCTCTATCTACACATTGGCTATATCACTACACTAAGTTAGTGTGCTCTCAAATGCTAACTAAAGAGCCACACTAACCAAACTAACAAGCTCTCACAACTAGCTACACTAAAGAGCTTGACAACTAGTTTACGGTTATGTAAAGAGAGAGAGCAAGATAGTTATACTGCCGAGTCGAGGAATGAACCAATCAATCACAAGAATGAATACCAGTGAAGATCAATCACTTCGGAATCAAATGATGACATAATATTTTTTTATCGAGGTTCACTTGCTTGCTGGTAAGTTAGTCCTCGTCGTGGCGATTCACTCACTCGGAGGTTCACGCGCTAATTAGCATCACACGCTAAACCCTTAATAGGGTGCCACACAACCAACACAAGATGAGGATCACACAAGCCACGAGCAATCCACTAGAGTACATTTTGGCTCTTCGCCGGGGAAAGGTCAAGAACCCCTTATAACCACCACGATCGGAGCCAGAGACAATCATCAACCTCCGCTCGACGATCCTCGCTGCTCCAAGCCATCTAGGTGGCGGTAACCATCAAGAGTAACAAGCGAATCCTGCAGCGAAACATGAACACTAAGTGCCTCTAGATACAAACACACAAGCAATGCACTTGGATTCACTCCTAATTTTACAAAGATAATGAATCAATGATGGAGATGAGTGGAGGGGCTTTGGTTAAGCTCACAAGGTTGCTATGTCAATACAAATGGTCAAGAGAGTGAGCTTGAGCCCGGCCATGGGGCTTAAATAGAGAGCCCCCACGAATAGAGCCGTTGGCTCCTCTGTCTAGTGACACATGGGCTGACCAGACGCTCCATCATTGGAGTCCGGTAGTTTCCAGTAAGGCACCAGAGCCGGTTTTTTTGACCGGATGCGTTCAGTCCACCATGACCGGACGCGCTGGTGCGTCCGCTCCTCCTTCTCTTCTCTACGCGCCGCCACGTCAGCAGGACCGGACGCTGAACAGTGTTCAGTCAGAGTCCGGTCACCTGCGTCCGGTCTTAGGCCGAGAGTAGCCCGAGCACACCACTGATTTTATAAATGACCGGACGCTGCTCCCCCGAGTCCGGTCACCACGTGACCGACGTCTGGTCACTGTTTTCAGTGATTATCACCTCTTTCACTTCACCAACTTCTCCACCCTTGCTCAAATGTACCAACCACAAAGTGTATTACCTTGTGCACATGTGTTAGCATATGTTCACAAAAGTGTATTACCTTGTGCACTCCACTATATCCTAAATGCATATGAAATCAGTTACAGCATCTAGTGGCACTTTGATAACCGTATTTCGATACGAGTTTCACCCCTCTTAATAGTACGGCTATCGATCCTAAATGTGATCACACTCGCTAAGTGTATCGATCACTAAAGTGAAAAGCTCCTATCAATTTCACCTTTGCCTTGAGCTTTTTGTTTTTCTCTTTCTTCTTTTCTAAGTCCAAGCACTTGATCATCACCATGACATCACCATCATCATGATCTTCACCGTTGCTTCACCATATGGAATAATGCTATCTATCTCATGATCACTTAGATGAGCTAGGTTAGCACTTAGGGTTTCATCAATTCACCAAAACTAAACTAGAGCTTTCAATCTCTCCCTTTTTGATAATTAATGACAACCCTTACATAAAGATATGAATTGAAATTTAAGTGAATCCATGTTGCTTGTCCAAGTATATTTACCATGTGTAAAAGGATATGGACAAGTTTTATGAACCCTGAATGGTAGCAATTGCTCCCCCTACATATGTACTAAGAGTTTGAATTGTAGCTTGCATATATGCTTAGATAGAAAATATAGGAGACAATATCTACTGAATGATGCTAAGGTATAAGAGATGGACATTTGAAGCGTGATACCAATCGAAGTGCACCAATATACCATCCTTAGCACCATTAGTAACTAGACATACACACAAACTAGAATACCCTATGAGATCAATATTAAAAGCAAGGGTCTAATTTCTATAAAATGGATATAAGTCTAGTTTCTTAACATATGCATGCTAGTTTTTTATTTCATCATTCAATCCTACAACTAGCATATAGCACACAAGCATAGATATTGAAATTTAAAACTTGTGTCATGCAAGCAAATATATGAAATGCACATTCAAATGCACCGTACAAGTTCATGAGCTTGCCCCCTACTTGTGTGCTTAAAATTTTAATTGATCCCTTTTCTTTATCATATCTCTTTCCCTATGTCAAATTCTTCCCCTATCACTTCCATCTTTATTTCTCTCCTCCTTTGTTGTCTTTTCACTATCTTCGTACACTATTTCTCCCCTTTGTCATCAATAACCACAAAGGTTCAAAATATAGATAGGTTGAGATTATCAATGTCAATCATTGGGGTGAGGACTATTTCCCCAAATTTAGTTCAATCTAGAACATTTGTCAAAGATATTTAACTTGGTTTGATTATAGGACAAGCTTCTTCACACATCCAAATAAGGGTTATCTTATACCATGTTGACTTAAACACTTATAGCTCATTTTCTAGATAAAACACTAGGTTTACAAGTCCACAAACATGTCATATGCTACCGCTAGACCAAATTAAGCATAGAAGCAATAGTGGTACCATACAGATACATAAAAATCATTTGATTTTTATGAATAAGCCTATTAAATATGAAAGATGACTAGATGCACTAAACATGTCTTTAGCAAGGATGTATGCCATGCTAATCAACTTTTACCTTGGATTGCTCGAAGGAGAGGCATGTCATATAAGTGGGGGTGCATCAACACATATTTGAGAAATCCAATATGTTCAACTTATTCCTTAGCTTGCAAAACCTTTTCTCATCCAATGGCTTGGTGAATATATCGGTAAGTTGATCTTCGGTGCCTACACTCTCAATGCAAATATCCCCCTTTTATTGGTGATCTCTTATGAAATGGTGGTGGACATCAATGTGTTTTGTTCTTGCATATTGAACCGGATTGTTGGTTAACTTGATTGCACTCTTATTGTCACATAGCAATGGCACTTTCTTGAACTTGATTCAAAAGTCACTCAAAGTGGCCTTCAATCAAAGTATTTGTGCACAACAATTACCAGCGGATATGTATTCAGCTTCGGCGGTTGATAATGCAACACTACTTTGCTTCTTTGATGACTATGAAACTAGTGATCTTCTCACTAATTGACATGTGCCCGAGGTGCTCTTCCTTTCAACTTTGCATCCTGCATAATCCGA